TGGTTTGCAGGCTGCTGTAACACCTCTTGGAGATCATGGTGTAACATTTTTGATGCTACCTTTAAACATGTACACAGCAGCTGGTTGGATTAATGTAATAATGGGAATTTTTAATTTTACCTTTTTATTACCATGGAATTTTAAGGAGCATAAAATTGCAATAAGAGAAGCTATGCGTGATGAAGGTAAAGCTACAGGTATGTAATAATATTCTGTTATACTAATCTTTATGTTTGATATTGGGTATGGGAATAAGTTTCCGCCCTTTCTTAATGAAAAAGATGTATTTATTTAAACAAAACAATACAAAGTGAGTTCATTTAAAGTATGCTCCATCGGAAGCGACAACTTTCTCCCACCTTTCAGGTAATAAACGGATTCCTCGAAGGAAGAAATCTCTTTTGAAGCGATCCATTCATCAAGCCATTTTTTAATACCTTCATAAGAATTGAATCGCTCTCCAGAATGGGCTGACTGCATAGATCGGAACAATTGGAAATCTGAAGCAATGTCCAGCGAATACGGCGGGTGGGATAGAATTTCCCACTTCACTCCTAAGTATTTTTTAACCGGTTTTGCAACGTGTGGCCTAGCGTTGTCATGTAGCAGAATCAGCTTGTCATGCCTATTGTCCCATTCGTTTTTCTTTCAAAGCTTGGTTCAAACGTATCAATTGTAGTCAATAACGATTGTCAGTGATGGTTTCTTCGAGTAAGATAGTTGCTTGCAATTCTGCATCTTCAAATTTTTTCGGTGCACCTTCGCGTTCTTTGTCACGCACGTCGAAATCACCATTGTTGAATCGCCGAAATCATTCTTTATAAGTAATATTCAATGGAGCATGCTCACCGTAAATATCTACGAGCAAACAATGTGTTTCCGCAGCACTTTTCTTTAAAATGAAATAATGGAGTAAAACTTCCTGCAAACATTGCTTTTTTGGAATAAATTCCAATATTTTCCAAAAAAGTTACTCTTGTTTACGCTTCGAACAAATGTCAACTACTAGGCTCAAAAGCTTGAACACACACCTTTATATATACAAATACATGTATTGCCATTTTATCAAACACACAAACAGTGCTACTAACGACATGTAACTACAATGGGCGGAAACTTATTTCCATACCCAATATAATTAAAAAAAATTTTAATAATTCATAAAAATTTATTATAATGAATTATATATATATATATATATATAATAATAGAATTTATTGCATTTGCAGAAAAAGAAACATGGAAAGCTATAAAACCGGACTATTTGGCTTCATGGACTTTAATTTGTGGATTCTTTGTTTTGGTTTTTAATTTTGTTCTTCTTGAGACGTAAGTGCATTTATTTTCTGATATTTGTTCAAAAGTAGAATTAAAGATACAATTGAAAATAAATAAAATAAGAGAAAAAATAGCTGAAAATTTATGATATTTTATTTAAGAAGGCAAAACTAAAAACTTGATTTAAAAGCTTTATTATAAACTTGTTGTAAAATAATGTTAAAATTAAGATCATCGATTGAAATCTTAGTTTATCAAATAAAAAGTTTTAGTTAACAAATATATGTCATCTTTCTTCATATAGTCTTGGTACTTCTCTTACCATGGATCAATTTGCTTGGACTAAAAAGGAAGCGCTATATTATATGGGAATTCTAATGAGCGTTGGAGCTGTGATAGCCTGTATTACATTTACTATGATTGGACCACTTTGTAAAAAGTAATTATATGATGAAATTACAATCTCTTTAAAATAAATAGTTAATACTTGTACGTAAGAATTTATTATTTTATCGTTTTTATATATAACGTTTATATGACTTATAAGTAGATAATATCTTTCACTTTATATATGCTATTAAATAAAGTATGTACTTCTTTTTAGATTTGCAGAACGTAAAGTAATGTTATGGGGTGGATTCTTCTTTATGATAATTGGACGAGTACTATGTATCCCATGGGGTCCGGATCCTCCTATAACTGTAGATTTTGGACGTGAGTATTTCTCTACTAACTAAAAAATATTTTTAAAACTGTATATTTTTATACTTAGTATAGATTTCTTTATGCATATTATATGACAGTTTTATAATGGAAGTGCTTCAATATCTTGTAGCATATAATAATATCACGACAGATGCCAATGGTACAGAAATCGTAGGATGCCCTATTACTCAAGAATGGTGCCTATATACTCCGCAAATCACGATTACTCAATTTTTGATTGGTTACGCCTTTACATCTATAGGTTATCCTATAGGAGTTACTTTGATGCAAACTATATTTAGCAAAATTCTCGGCCCGCGTCCACAAGGAGTGTGGATGGGTTTAATGACAGGTGCGGGTTGTGCGTCTCGCGTTTTAGGTCCGGTATTTGTAGGCTTCATTTATACTCGCTTAGGAACATATCATACTTTTGGTATCACTGGCGTAATGCTAATCGTTTCCATGTTGTGGTTACAACTTGTAAATAAACGTTTAATTGCACCAGAGCTAAAGAAAGTCAACGAAGTGCAGAACAAACAAGGAAAAGATGCCGAAATTCCATTAGTTCATTTAAAATCTGATAATACTCAAACATTGCGTGAAGCTGTATAGTTAACGGAACATCAGTTCGTGATTGTGATAATTCAAGCTGTGTCTTGGCGGAAAAAATTATCTTTTTGTGCAATATGCGGTAAATTTTACATAAACATTACAAACGGTATTTAGATAACACTGCAAATTAATTTATATTTTTTATAAATGTGTATACAGATTACTATTACATTCTTAAAATATATAGATATTTTATAAAAATTTTATACAGTTACATGCTAAATATGATCAAAAAATAGATGCCGTACTCAGAATAATTATAAATATAACAATTCTATGACAATAATAATTAAGAAATCGTTCATAAATTGCTCAAAACTTTCTAGTGACACAATTTGTTCCAAATTTTATTAAATTTTTTATGTAAATTTAAATTGACTAATGTTATATTAATTATATCATATAATATTACAATATGATAATGATTAATTATATGACATTAAATATTAATGAGACTTGGATTATGAAGATAATGAAGACTTGCCATATAGATAATACAAATGGTATTCGTGAACTATTCTTCCAGTGTTTTTTGCTTGAAGGGAAGTTATAATTTTGAAATATTGCACAATTATTAATATGAAGATTATATTTTTAAAACTAAAGTGCTTAATATTTTTAAGGAGAATAGCACGTATGCATATATAGATAAATACTAACATAAAAATTATAAGTTTCATATACACTGAAATCTAATCCTCCAGCATATTTATTAGATTTTTATTGCAAAACAGAAAATAACACAAAAAGTCTAATCTGTACTCTATATGCATTTTTATATACTTATGCTCTTTTATAGATATTAAAATTACGTTTATCATTTTTGAAGATTAAAATTTATACTATGATTATATCTAAGGATTCGAATAATGTACAAATTCATAATAGAATAGCATATAAGAGCGCCATTATATTTCCTGAAATGTAGACTTATCCTTTTTAGCTGCATTTCTTACGATTCATCTTTCTTTTTTTTCTTTTCACGTTAGAGACAAAAAGGAAAGACGAACTATGCAAAGTTCAGCTAAAAAGAACAGAGTTTAAGAAAATAATATTATATATACAAATGTATTAGATCGTAGTAAATAGCAGGTGATATGAAATTTGAATGTATACTAAGCAATTATCAAAGACTTAATAACGAATTGAATTCTTTTTTAAAAGTATTTTGTTACTAGTATAATAATCATTTTTGTTCAAAATATATTTAGATGTTGGAATGTTCATGAGATTATAACATTTATAAATTGTATATTATGTTAATTGCTTACATAAGTTTAACATAAATGCAACATAAATCAATGCAAGAGTGTAAAAGAGGAGGTACAGTCTACTTTTTACTTTTTCGTGTAGCTTGAAGAGCAAAGACTGACCTAACTAAAATTTTATAAAATTGTTTTACATTAAAAAATAAATAGTTGATATTACAGCAATAGATATTACTGCTAACTACTTTTTAATTTTTTAATAAATATTTCAAAGACAATACTGTAAAAAATTGTGATTTAATAATTCACATTTATCTTTAAAAAATCATAATTAAATATATTGATTTTGACATTATATTATAAAAAGAAATTCGAGCTATATATATTTTCAAAGTGCAAAATCATAAATACATAAATCAATGCTTAATATTTTAAAATGCAATATTTTAAGATAATATATAGGTAACACTAAAAATTTTTACAAGACGACATGTTCAAATGTTTCATGCAAATTTTTTTTGTACTCGATAATTAATAATAAATATTTAGATTGTCAAAAAATTGTTAACATTGCAGAAGCGGCAATCAAAAGTTAATATCTGGTTGTAAGTCTGGTACAATATTTTCATTACATAAGAAAAGTATATAAAATTGAAAGATTAATATATTTCTTGTGAAATAGTGAAGAATTATTTCATTTATATATATGCATTTATGGAAATTTTCAGTGTTGCCTACATATACAAAGATATATTTTTCTAATATTTGTACACTGAAAATATTTAAATATGTTTAATGGAAAATGAAACTGTATGTGGTATTTACATTACTATATTTTATAACTAATAAGAATAAAGTGACGAATATAAAGTTATAATATATAAATAATTTCTATTGCCTTTCTTTGTAAATACTAATTTTTTTCTAATTTATTTTAGTAATAACGAAAATTGTTAGAATACACTAATATATAAATTTCTCAATACTTGATACAGAAAGATAAATTAAACTGGTTGTCAAATATTAAATTTGTATTTTTATTTCTCTAATTATAGTAGAAATTATTTGACTATCTTTTCTTACATTCTTCTTATATATTCATAACATACGTGAATACAATAAAATCTTTAATACTAAAAAAAGCTGTCGTCAAAAAATGACACATTATATAAACATATAGATTCTCATAAATGCTGTGCTATCACTTATAAATTCTAATGATACGATAAGAGTGCATGGTTACTATGGATTATAAAAATGATTAATACATGTCTTTTCTTAACATGAATTGTAGAAATGCGGATTATTCATACAAATAGTCATAGAATTATAATTAATCTTTCTTCTTTGGTTTCTTAGGATTACGCGATCGCGATTTTGCTTTGCAAAGTGGGCAAATTGGTGCATTCCTATGAATTTGTTGATGGCACGAAAGGCAAGACTTCATAGGCGGCGGTTGTTGCCTGTAAAGCAATAGAGATATCGTATTACAAAATTGGTAACAGTTAATGTTTTCACTTTTACATAAAAAATATAATAAAGGGATGAGATATACCAGTGGTACCTGAATGTTGGAGCAGGCGGCCCTGGGGCTGGCGGTAATGGTCTAGGCTCTGGTTTACTCGGCCCTTGAAGGGGTTGCGGAGCTAGGAAAGGTGTAGAACCACCTGGATGCCCAGGATGGTGTAGTCCAAGTGGTGGTAACAAGTCATCACCTCGTACTTCTACTCTCCATTCCGCTTTTTGCATTGGACGTTCAAAGTAACTATGAACAAACCGTCTACACAATAAAAGTTTGACTCAGCTCAGTCCGTAATGTCAATTTCCACATATTGACTGATATTACATGCAATTTCTCTTACTGCTGATCTTCAACAGCTTCGTGATAGTATAGATACTTACTCAGGGGAGATAAGATCTGACTCAGTCTCGTACAACTCTGGTAACCTCTCCAAACCCAAGAATTCCCTGCGCATACGATCAATGTCGTGTTTCAGTGGTTGATAATCATTGTTATGAATTAGTTTAGCAGTTTCCCTCGCCCTGTTACGTGCTTCTTCTGCTTGCTTGATCACTGATTCCATCTAGTCAAGAATAAACTTTATTATTATGATTCCATATAGTTCCAATGTATTCCATACAATTATATTTTGATTGTATTTCAAAATTTATTACCGTAAGGTCTATTCTTTTTAGCTGAATTTTTTGCATAGGTCATTTTTCTCTTTTTTTATATTTGAGAGGTGAAGAGAAAAGATAAACTATGCAAGAAATTCAGCTAAAAAGAACAAATCTAGTAATGAAACTGTCTTGAAGTATAGACTTTCAATTGGTGCGTTCGGGAAGACGCTATTAGCGCTACTTCTGTCATTCTATCTTCCTTGTTTATTAGATGTAAAACAAGAAAAGACACAAATAGCGTTAATAGCGTCTCCCCGAACGTACCTAATATATAACATCCTGTATAGTACATGTAATATAAACTACAAATTTTCAACCGACAATAAATTTTAGAATATAGTCTCTATCTTGGGGTCTGTTTTCTATTTCTGCACTAGAACTTTGTTTTACTTCAGCTAAATATCAAATATATACCTATTTCACTTTAAATTCCAAAAGTGTATGTTAGCTCAGCTATAAAAAACAGACCTTTGCTTGCAGAAACAAAAACCAAACAATGCAATTCACCGCATTGATGTCTGCATGTATCTGACGTAATTCCTCTACATGTGCCATTTTCTCTTGCATCAGCAAGTCCATCTCCTGCTTGTATTCTAATAAACATTTCTCCTCCTGTTCGGTCTGTTCCACCTCTTGCAATATTCTCTGTTTCAGTTTCTCCAATTGAAGGGTCTTTGACCTGTGAGGAGCACAACAAAATGAAACACCCAGTCAAATAAATTTCTTATGCAATGTATGAAAGGACAAGAGTCAAACGAGACTGCGTCCTCATACCTAATGTCTTTTAGAGCTTCCAGCTTCGCAAAAATCACCGCCGTTTCGGACGCCGACATGCCGGAGGTTAATCCTCGTTATTTACGATTGCTTGGAGCTCACGGAATTTCAACAACGATTTCCACTAAACTGGAGTTCGACTACTGCATATTCAATATCGGAGCGATTAACGCGATTAACGAGAAACAAAAAAACGCGTTTCACAGGAAGGGAATTACTCCGGGAGTTACGCGAGATTAAAGGGACTCCGTGAACCGGGACTTTGGCGAAGCTGTTTGACAAAATTATCAAACAGCAGTCGCGAGAGCACAGCGGACTCGGTTCATCAATCGCTTTTTTTTTCTTTTCACCCGCGTAAGATAGCGAACTTGAAATCTATGCAACGAGATAAACGCGACGCGCCATCTGGGATGCTGAGGCTCGTAATCTCGACAGGCGCTCCAATTCAATTTCCCATGACTTTTTTCTCGCGTTCTGTAGTCTTTGGATGATCCGCGATTCGCGTCAAAATTCACAATGTAATTTCATTTAATTCCATAGAATATTTCGAAGATCGGAAAATTGCACACGTGTGCACATATACGGCAAAACGTGCGGCTTATGAAATCGTAAATAAAACCCCATCTTGAAATTTAACAAATACATAAATATAAAACGCGCAGAATAAGTTTAAGATATGTTTCATTTATTTCTTGAGAATTTTCGCCTCTTTGTTGAGCCGAACACGTTTCATTCATACACCTACATTTAAGGCTTATAAACAATTAATTAGTGATTACCCAGAGAGCACAAAGTCTTCTAAAAGATGACTTAATTGTTATAAAGATATCTTTTAGTGAAAGCATATAGTCGACGAAAAGATGACTAAAAGACGACAGATATCGCACTGATAGTTATCTTATAGCCTTATCCATATGATAACTAAAAAATGAAATTGCATGACTGACAATATACATCCCATTTCTAGGGACGGAGTTCATAGTCCGGTCTTAATCTCAAGCAATGTCTTAAGACGCTAATACGACCTTCTGATTAGTTCATGACACCTCAAGGCTGAACTTAAGACGGTCTTGAATATAAGATTTGACTATGGCTGCGGTCCACTTGACGCTACAAACGCTTCGAAGCGTTTGTAGCGTCAAGTGGACCGCAGCCTATGAATACCGGTCCCTGATTGGTTCATGCACTAGCTTAAAACCATTTCGAATCTTGAACACCGTCTATGGATTCCGTCGTAGGTTCTGCAATGTTTGCCATGTCCTATGTGCAAGAGCCATTTATTTTTCATCATAGTTCTCCCTGTGGGGGAATTTAAAAAAAAATATTTCATTAGTGTGTTCATTAGATAACATGAGTGAAATTTTTCATAACCCCAGTGAGAAATGACAGTGGAATCGATGTTGATTCGACGTCGAAATCATCGAATCAACGTCAAATTGACGTCGATTCCATTGTCATTTCTCATTTTGAATAGAGTTTTAAATCATGAGTCTTAAGAAATGAACGAATTCATAATCGATTATTCTCCTCGAATTCGATTGTAATTAGTTAATTTTTTACGACTTATGACTTAAAACATCTATTGTAGATCCGGACTAATGCTGCACCTTTTATTCTATCTTGTATGATTTTCAAACACGAGAAACTGAACTTCACCACGTCCGTCTGATGGCGATCCCGCGTACTGCTCGCGAATGAGTGATAAAAAATACCAAAATAACGGAAAGATACATATCTTTTTCATATTGTCTTTTCGGCAATACGAAAAGATACCTTTTAATTGACTTTTTACTTTCCGAAAATGACAACCGTAGAAAGATGACAAAAAGATGTCTTTCTGGTTGTCATTTTCGGAAAGCAAAAAGTCAATTAAAAAGTATCTTTTCGTATTGCCGAAAAGACAATACGAAAAAGATATATATCTTTCCGTTATTTTGGTATTTTTCATCACTCATTCGCGAGCAGTACGCGGGATCGCCATCAGACGAACGTGGTGAAGTTCAGTTTCTCGTGTTTGAAAATCATACAAGATAGAATAAAAGGTGCAGCATTAGTCCGGATCTACAATAGATGTTTTAAATCATAAGTCGTAAGAAATTAACTAATTACAATCGAATTCGAGGAGAATAATCGATTATGAATTCGTTCATTTTTTAAGACTCGTGATTTAAAACTCTATTCACAGTGAGAAATGACAATGGAATCGACGTCGATTTGACGTACGATAACATCATTAACGTCTATGTTAATTATTCATTTCTATCAATTTAGATTAACTTTATTCTCGATTTAACTAATTATTTTACATCTTTTTTTTATTTATAAAAATTAGGAATAATAAACTAAAAAAAATCAGAAAAAGATAAAAAGTAAGTAAAACCAAAATTAAAGTTAATCTTATACACTGGTTGAAATGAACGTTTAATTAGATATACGATTCCATGTTTAATTATGTTCGATTTATATAATGAAAATCGCGTACAGTATACATAATTACTTCATTTATTTAAGAATCGAACGGTTATATATTTAGCACAAACGCAAGAGACATGAATAATAATGTACCATTGATCCCTATTTAACCCTGGAATAGAGCGAGTGACGTAGCACGTTACCTAACTTTCTTTAAAGTTTCGCTCCGATAAAATATTCATAACTCAGCTCTAGCAATTATATTATCTCTCGATATTGCATAATTTTAAGCCGAACGAACAACGCGTTTCTGTCAAGTAAAAATGATTCCATTTTATTTTATTTATGGGAAATATAATAGTTAATAAATAATTAAAATGTACGTTGATGTTTTATTTGCACAAATAATGTCAGGGGGCTTATTCTTGAAAAAAAAGTGAAAATTACAAAAGTAAGCAAATTCATGGTGTTGATTAATAAAGTTATAAATATTCGTTCATTTTTATAATTTTACTTTGTTTCAAGAATTCAAGAACTGTAATAAAATCCTCAGTTTCTTTTCTTTTAATTTCCCTCCCCCATTTTTACGAATTTTCTGTCTTCTTTATCTTCCGCCAGTACCTTATCGATAACGGTAAACGTTGTAAGTTTTCAGGAAACGAAAGTGGACGTAGATGGCTCCACGTGCACCATTCTTCGATACAATTCGTGAGATTGCAGATTTCAATTGATTCTGCGAAATCGATCGTTGAATAGAAAATCGTCACGATTCAACGAACAGAAGCATGCGGATCACAGAGCTGGAAAGAAGGGAACGAATAGTGAAGGGTATGACCGAAACAAGCATGCAAGAAACCCTCATAAATCTCCGCTCCCCCTCGATTTTGCCCAGGGTGCGTCCCTCGGAGATTCCGTTTTCAAGCGAGCGCGGTCAGGTGCGCGCGCGCGCACGCGCACTTGCTCGAAGATTGCGCATGCGCGGTGCGTCAGGCCCTGGAGGGGCGTAGAAAGGAGGCCATATTGTACAGTTAAATTGAAAGAACGAAAATAATTGTATCGCCGTTGGCCGATCGCTCGCGCTCGCACTGCCATCGGTACCCCCGATCTTCCGTTCCTCCGTTATCGTTCGCGTGCGACGGCGAATCCCTTTGTCAGCGCTTTGCGTCGCTCGTTCACGTCCGCGGCGGAGCCAAGAGAAGCGAGAGAGCTACGAGCACACACACGGGAGCCAATCGGCGGCTCCTCGGCCTTCTCTGCCCTTTGTATATAAGCCATACGTCGTCGCAGTAGCGCGGTTCCAATCCCCCGGGGGTAACCGACGTCGGTTCGCTGAGAAGTGCTTGTTGCTTGCTGCGGTCAAGATGGGCACTCGGGACGACGAGTACGATTATTTATTTAAAGGTATGTGTGACTAATTTTTTTTTTTCATACTCGGAAGATGATCCCCATCATGACTTTCGTTCTGCGATCGACGGGTATCGTTCCCATTTTCGCCGCGGCGACGACGTACGTCACGTCAAACGTCACCTCGTGAACGACGACCGACCGCGGTCGCCCGTCCGTGGCGAAACGCGCGCGCGATGACATCAGAAACGATGACCCACCATCGCGGCTATGTCCCGCGGAGAGAGCGTCCCGTCGTGATTCCTCGGGGCGACTTCCTGGTCGACGGCTTCGCCGATTTCGGACCTTCTCTAGATATCCCTCTCCCACCTTTCCTCCTGCCTTCTCTTCCTCGCCCCTAACTCGGCTGTTCTTTCCCCGCGCCGTGAAAAACGCCCGCGATTTATACATTACATATGTAATTGGGCGCGATATAGACACGTATCGAATACGTGCGATGGTGTTGTATCCGTTGTCCGTCGTGCGGGTATATACACGCGTGAATCCATGTGCGTGTGACATGTTTGAAATTTCTTTCGGCCTTGTCATTCCGCATCATCTGCACTTTCCTAGAACAGAAGGAGAGACAGAGAAAGAGCGAGAGAAGGGGAGGGGGAAAGAGAAAGAGAGCAAAGATACTAGAAACGTTATCGCTCGTCAGCTGGTTGTATCCATCTAAGGACCCAGACACAATGAAAAGCACAAGTAATGGAAACAGGGAATATCACACAGATAATAAACTTTGACCTATCAAATACCATGTATTAATGTGTAGCAATTTCTGGTAGGTTGAAATCTATGTGTTATTCCCTTTCTCTACTATCTGTGATTATTGTTTCTGAGTCTTTATTTTCTATTGATTTTTTAAGACAGTTAACATTAACTCCACGCCTATGGGTTTAGAAGTTTGTAGAACCATTCGTTATTTAGTATTGCTATTTTATTGGTGCTTCCATCAATTTGGTCGATCTTGACCCTTGACTTAATATATAATAGGATATAATGTCATATATTGTATTTGGTCACTGTCACTGTCGTGATCTGAATACACTGGTCATAGAAGGCAGATAAGTTGGATTAATTCTACTTCTTTTTGTTATTCAAACTTTTTTTTAATAATCACGATTTATATGCAAAAAAATCGATTTTATGGAGTTGATTTTAAAGATGAGAATTCTATATTCTGATATTTTCTATATCAATAACTATTTTAATGTGTTGAAATAATTAAATGTTTAATAATTTTAGCTTTAGATAAATGAGTAAATATGTATAATATAATGTATGGTATACATCATGTTTATATTTCTTACTTTGAGAAAGCAAATGTAGAATGAGAGAGACCAATGAGATCCCCGCCATGCCTTCTCTTCCATGCTTTATGTTTGAATAGCAATTTATAGAAAGAATAGTCATACACATATTATATGCACGCTTTACATGATCATGATGTGTCACTGATTTACTGATACCTCTGATACAACTTTTTTAGTAGTTTCATATAATTTTTTCAAATAAAGATTTCTGTGCAATGTTTATGATTTTTACGACTACTTAATGTTTGCGTTTATTATTCAATGGTTCTTTATTTTATGCAATGATAAATTT